TCTCTCTCTCTCTCTCTCTCTCTCTCTCTCTCACACACACACACACACACACACACACACACAGAGTTTTATGTGTACAGGTATATTTGCCTGCATATATGTATGTGTACCATGTGTATGCCATATGTTGTGGGCAAATGAGAGCATCATATCCTCTGGAACTGGAGTTTCAGTGGTTCTGAGCCACCATGTGGATCTGACGAAGTATGTGTACCATGTGTATGCCATATGTTGTGGGCAAATGAGAGCATCATAACCTCTGGAACTGGAGTTTCAGTGGTTCTGAGCCACCATGTGGATCTGATGAACTTGGATCTTCTGGGCAACCAGTGCTCTTAACTCCTGAGCCCTCTCTTCAGCCAGCCACACCTTTTGAAAGACGCCCAGCTTCTGTGCCCACTGTTTTAATGTAACTGTCCTCCAGACTGAGTCACTTCCTCCAGGGCTTCCCCTCAGTGCGGGACATCCCAACTGCATGTCATCCTGTGTAACTAAAGCTAAATATCTAAGATAGGATTTATGTTCTTACCCATCTTCCTGCACTTCCCTCAGTCTAGCACCAAGTCTAGTGGCCCCATCTCAGTGAGTGGCTACCCCAGGCCAGAAGTCAGGAATTGTTCTCCGTTCACATGCTCCGTGTCATTGCACACTGCAGTCTGATAACTCAGCCAAGCCACCGCTTGCCCCTTTGCCTCCTGGCTCTGCTCTTTGCCTCCCAGCTCTGTCTACTGAACCATCCTAAGAAAACTGAGTATACCGTTTCCTAGCCTTCCCCTGGTGCCCTTGTCCTCAGCACTCTGCCAGCCTTGGGTGTTCTGTACCTGCTTCTCTCGTCCCAGCTCCATCACTCCCCACCCTCCTAACTTACTTCTCAGTGGTCATCAGTCTTCACAGTTCCTAGACATACAGGGTGCTTTCAAGCCTCCCTGCTGCCCCTCTTTGACCTCTGCCTGAAAGGATTTTCTGCCTAGCACACCTGAATTCTTTAACTTTCAAACTTAGCTTCCAGTGCCTCCAGGAAGCCTCCTCCCATCTACTGCTCTCTCCCTCCATTCTAGATACCATCAGGCTCTGTTATTTCAGGAGCAGGTTGGATTTCACAAGTTGCACTCTTTATGACTATGCTTATCAGGGTCTGCTATGGGCCCTAATGTCAGCAGTGTGTGCTGTGTGGAGCAAATCATCCCTCTCCCCGCTCTGGCTTGTGTGGCTTTCTTCAGCTACTGCTCTCTCTTCTGCCGCACTGCTCTGCCCCGATTCAGGCTGGGCCACTGCAAGAGCCTTCTGTTTTGTTCTCCACTCCGTCTCTGTTCCCTTGAGTCTTTTACGCTGTGCCCTCAGTAGCATCTGTAGCCTGTTCCTGGCTCCCTGGCTCCCACGTCCACCTGACTCATCCCTTGTGTTCTCTTCCCGTCAACCTCTCCCACTTCCCCTCTCAAAACCTGCACTGGTTGCACTGACCCCAGCCACACCCAGCATCTTGAGGCTCCATGAGCACTGTGTCATGTCCCTAGCAGAGCCTTCCTCGACACCACTCTTCCCGTCTTTGACATCTCCAGCTTTTGTGTCTGGTGTTGCTTGTGCTCTTGGTTGTACCAACCCGGTCACTCCTAGCATAGCATACCTCCTACCATATTACGGTTGCCTGCTTGATCATTGTGCTGCTCCATTTATGGACTCCAAAAACATGATTCCCTCATAGGAGGACTAAGAAGCCTTGTCCTTCAGAGAGCCAAGCTACACAGTGTCCAAGGGACTGCAGGGACCCACAGTACACATGCATGTAGGATAGCCACACATCTGCCTTCCAGTGCAGACCAGGGCTGCGTAGGGAAAGGAAATATGGTCTAAGGATTGGGCTGCCTATCCCAGTGTGTGCTAGAGCAGGGCCCCAAGAATTCTGGGAAGTCTACATTTGAACCCAAGCTATTATAAATGTATGCTTTGTCGGGACACAAGAGTTTGTTCTTTGGTTTATAGCTTGGGAAGATTAAAGCAAGGGCTGGAGAGAGAGAGCTCAGTGGGTAAGAGCTTTTGCTGTGAATGCTGCATTTAAATTCCCAGCCCCCTCGTGAAAAGCTGGGTATAGCTGCACATATGCCTGTAACCCCACTGCTTTTGGGAGTGGAGACAGGAGAATCACTGGACTTGCTGGCTTCCAAACTAGTTCCAGGTCCAGTGAGAGACCCTGTCTCAAAGGAATAATGTGGAGAGTGATAGAGCAGACACCTGTCATCCTACCCTGCTCTATGCATATATGCACCCCCCTCCCACCCCACGCAAATTAAAACAGATGCAGTGCTAACTTCCATTTACAGTTTGCATCCTTGCCCAGGTGTGCAAATCTCAAAGTAGACTCAACCATGAACATACACCTTACTGGCTTGCCCTTGTGCCTAGCAGGTGATGACCAGTCAGTGACTTTAACAAATGAGTAGTAAAATGTTTTCCTTGTTTTCAAGATTATGGAAACTTAGCTGGAGAGATGGCTCAATGATAAAGAGCACTTGCTTGCTCTTACAGAGGACCAGATGGGTGACCTACAACCACTTGTAACATCAACTCCAGGGATCTAACACCCTTTCTTAGTTAGGGTTACTATTGCTGTGATGAAACACCACGACCAAAAGGAGCTTGGGCAGGAGAGGGTTTATTTCACTTGCAGTTCCATGTAACAGTTCACCGACAAAAGCAGTGCAGGCAGGAACCTGGAGGCAGGAGATGACACAGAGGCTGTGGATGGTGCTGCTCACTGGTTTGCTCAGCTTGCTTTCTTAGGGAACCCAGGACCACTAGCCCAGGATGGCCCCACCCACAATTGGATAGGTCCTCCCCCATCAAGCACTAGTTAAGAAAATCAGACCTGCAGCCTGATTTTATAGTGGCATTTTCTTAATTGAGGTTCCCTCCTCTCAGATGACTATAGCTTGTGTCAAGTTAACATAAAATTATCCAGCAAAACTCTATTCTGGCCTTCAAGATCATTTGCACTCCTGTGATGTGAACACACTGTGTGCAAGCATGCTTGTGTGTGTGTGTGTGTGTGTGTATGCGTATAGACACATAAACATAAGTAAAAATATTTAAAAAATGAAAATTGATATGGTTTTAAAGTTTATGGAAATTTAATCAAAACAATATATTGTAAAAGGTATATAGTGGCTTTTTTGTGTGATTTTGGTAGCAAAAATAATTTAGAATGCTAGCAAAAAGAACTCTAAATATGACATAGTATATGTGAGCATTTTATATAGTAACTTGGAATTTTCAGTGAGCAGTGTGATCTGGAGAATACCCCTGTAAGGTAAGCATAGGGGAGGGCATCTGTCTCATTTACCCAGAGGGTGAGCAGATGAACGTGTTCTCAGGAGAGGCAGGGCCTCCAGGGGCTACAGTCACTGACATGGAAAAGACATCATATGTGTTCCATTTTCCAGCAGCCAATTGCATTGTGTAAAGCAGTCCTTCTTGTCTTCTTTCAGTGCTTTTCCACATAATGGCCAGAACATGGGCCTCTCACCCTTCCTGGGGACTCTGAACACCGGAGGGTCATTACCAGATCTAACCAACCTCCACTACTCAGCACCGCTGCCAGCCTCCCTGGACACCAGCATGAGTGTGGGGAATAGTGTGGGCAACCTTCCTGCTGCTATGACTCATCTGGGCATAAGAAACTCCTCTGGTGAGTACTCCCATGTAGAAAGGCCTCGGCTGTGCCCCCTGTATGTCTGGTGCATCACTAAATGAGAGTGGCCACATCTCAGCGACATGTTATAGGATCCTTCACACTGGTTAGTGTCTGCTCTGGGGTCCCAGCTCTGCTTGTTTGACAAGCATTGAAGCATTCTGCTACACCTCATTCTTCATTGTCTTCACAAGCCCATGTATGCAGAGAACTTGGGGAGGAGTAGAGAAGAAGGTGCCATTCCGTGCCAGCTGAACAGTGTTAGCAGTTCCTATCAGCATATGGTGATCTTTTATCATTTAATCCATTTCCTGAGCTCCCCAGTTCCCCACTGGATTTCAAAAGGACAATAGTTTAAATTTTAGAGAATTTACAATGGGCATGATGAAAATGCTTATACTTAACATACGTAGGCTAAGTAGAAATCTACTACAGTTCAAAAATACCCAAGTGTTCAGAAGTGCTTGCAGATGTGGTACTGGCTATAGTCATGTTGCTTGTGATGTGATGTGGTGTTACTATGCAGGCTTGACTGTCCACAGTCCAGACCCTCCATTGACTTCATGTTGAACCAACACTGCTCTTGTCAGCACCCGGAGAATGCAGTAGTCCCTCCTCTACCAGTGGTGTGGTACAGCCCCAGGTCAGGGGCCTGTTGTGGAATGTTCCATTTGGAAGGCTCCTCAGTGACAGTGTAGGTGGAGGAAGTGGTTTCTGGTTTCCACTCTGGGTTCAGTGAGACTTGCCAGGCAGAGCAGAGCCTGCCCACCTAGGAGTAGCCCCCTCGAGTTCCCTGCCAGGTCTCCAGTGGTTCTGTGAACTTCTGCTAAGCAGTGTGGTTTAGGTTTTGCACAGCTGGTTGCAGAGATCACCTTTATTTTTGTTTTAGAAGGTGTTTTTGTTTTTTGAGGGGTGTCATTTAATAAAAAAAATCTTTATTTCTTAAGACTAACTTTTAAGCTTTGTTTTTTTTTTGTTTTGTTTTTTGTAAAAAAAATCTTTATTTCTTAAGACTAACTTTTAAGCTTTGTTTTTTTTGTTTTGTTTTTTGTTTTTTGTTTTTTTTTAGAAATCAAGTTATATATGGGCAAACTCACTGTTAAGAGTGAGTAGTGAAGCCATGTGACAATGTCTTAGATGCAGGGTGTTTCCAAGTGTAGTGAGGAACCTGGAATACCCTTTAAGAAGACACCTGTCTCTTAGCTCTGAGTTTCTTTGATTTATTTCACAACAAAAACTCTCAAACTCTTTGAGAGTTCTAGACTCAGCTTGGGCAACACCCCTTTTAGATGAATTCTCAGTGAACAATGATGCTAGGGTCACTGAAACAAAACAACATTCCCCATAGCTCCCTGGGGTCTTGAGGAAGCTGCCACCTGGAGGCTTTACCCTTTGCTTCTGGCTGAAAACCTCGTGTTCAGTCATTGACTGTCACCTGCTTCAAAACGCATCATATTATGCGCAATGCCACAGCTCAAGTGTCTAGCTTTATAGTGTCTTGCACACCTTAAACTGTATGGCACTGAGGCTATGGAGATGGCTCAGTAGTTAAGAACATTGCTGCTCTTTGCAGAGAGCCAGGTTCAGTCCCTAGGTTCATAATCACCTGGGACTCCAGTTCTAGGGGATCTGATGCTCTCTTTGGCGTCCACAGCACCAGACATGTACATGAGACAAGCATTCATACACATAAAATAAAAATATCGAAGTATATGTCATATAAAATGTAAAAATCTAAGGCAGGTGTATCACCAGTTCTAGACCAGCCTGAGCTACAGAGAGAGAGAGAGAGAGAGAGAGAGAGAGAGAGAAACTGGTACATGTGTTTTTGAAAACTAATTAAGCTTTCTTTAGGAAGGAGGCTTCTTTTTAAGTCTGATTGAGACCCCTACCTCTCCTTTCTATTTGAGCTACCTGAGTTTCATGTTTGCATTGATTGAGTGGTGGAATAAGGATCAGGATCCTACCAGGAACTTCATTTCTAACTTTAAAAATGTTTTTTCAGGCTAGTGAAATGGCTCAGTGGATAAAAGCGCTTGTTGCCAAGCCTGAGTTCAATCCCCAAAACCCACATAAAGGTGAACGGAGAAAACGGGCTCCACAGAGTTGTCCTCTGACCTCCACGTGTGCCGTGGCTTGTGTGCCTTCCCCCATCATATACACACCATACATACTAAGTAAATAAACACTTTTAAAATTAATAATCTTGTATTAGATGTGGTGTTCCACACCTGCAATTCAGGTAGTTGTGAAGTAGAAGCAGGAAAATTAGGAGTTCAGGGTTACCCTCTGCTACAAATCTAGTTCTGCTCAGGCCTGGTCTACATGATAGATGCCCTGTCTCTATTTTTAAAAATTAAATCATAATAATTTTTCCAGCTAAAATAGTTGATTTTGTAATTTCTTCATTTCAGTAGGTTTCATCAAACAATTTTTTTTCTTTCCATTATATTTGTACTTGATGTGTACGAGGGTGTGTGCATGAGTGTGGGTGTGAATGTGTGCGTGGGTGTGTTTGTGGGATGTGTTTGTGGGTGTGTGCATGGGTGTGGGTATGGGTGTGTGCATGGGTGTGGGTATGGGTGTGTGCATGGGTGTGGGTGGGTGTGGGTGTATGCATGGGTGTGTGTGTGTGTGGGTGTGGGTGGGTGTGGGTGTATGTATGTGTGTGTGTGTGTGTGTGTGTGTGTGCGCGCGCGCGCGCGCGAGTGCATGGGTGTGGGTGTATGCATGGGTGTGGGTGTGGGTGTGCATGGGTGTGGGTGTGGGCGTGGGTGTATGTGTACGAGTGTGCAAGCACAGTACACATGTGCTGGTCAAGGGATACAAGGTTTGGCACCAAGTGCCTTTCCCTGTCGAGCCATGTGGCTGGCCCTGGTTTTATTTGTTTTTTTGAAGCATTCCCATGTGGCTCTGGCTGGCCTCCAGCTAGCAGGTCTTGAACTCTTGGCCCCCCCTACTTCTACCCCTCAAGGGCTGGCATACAGGGCGCTGTTCTTACTTGTTTCTGTTTTTGTTTGGTTTGGTTTTGCTCAAGGTACTAGAGATTTCACCTAGAGCCTCAAGAATTGCAGGCGAGTGTTCTGCCACTGAGCTATCCTGACCCCCACAAACCAATTTTTATCAGCATAAACACACATGTCTGCTTCCCAACTTTGAGCACAAAAGTGGTGGACTGAGCTAAGCGTGGATGTGGCCTGTTGAAATGCATCACAGCAGCAGCTCTTCACAGAGTGCAGCTGTTCCATCTGGGCTTGAGCTGAGTGCCAAGGTCCAGGGGGGTCCCAGCTTCCTGGAACTCCTCTCTCAGCTGTCTGTGCTTTGGAGACGCCATTCCCAAAAAATCTTGCTCATGCTAAGATTCACACACACCCCCCCCCCCCTTCACCTCAGAGGAACAGGGACTACCAGAAACATTCTTTCCCCTGAGTTTGGAAACATTGTTAACAAACAGCTTATGAAGAGGCCAAAATGTAAGAGTGAAGAATTGCTTATAAGGCTGAGAGGGTTAGGGGGATATGGGGACATGTTCTTCAATGGCCATAGAGGATCCAGGCCATGTGATGGGCAGATGCACTAGGGGCTCTAAATTGAGGGGTGTAAGGAGCCTGAGGCTCCTTACTCCTACTCACCTGCTCCAGCTTCCACAGGGGTGGTTTGCTCAGTCTTTGTCCTCTTCAGAAGCAGTAATTCTCCTCTCACTAAAGCTGGATGCTTGGCAGCACCTCTCTATGTGTGGTGTTCCCTTTCCTTGTCATTGGTACACCCTAGACATTCCCAGTAGGAGAGCTGCCCAGAAACTTCTTCACATAGTCATCACATAGCTAGTAGGAAGTTTGCTTTGATCTGAAATCATAACAAGAAACCTGTGAATTTGTTATCTTGCAGGTCTCCAGAGTTCTCGAAGTAATCCTTCCATCCAAGCCACGCTCAATAAAACTGGGCTCTCATCATCCTTTAATAGCCACCCACAGACATCCGTGGCCAATGCATCTGCTCTTCACCCTTCGCTCCGTCTCTTCTCCCTTAGCAACCCATCTCTTTCCACCACAAACCTGAGTGGCCCCTCTCGGCGCAGGCAGCCTCCAGTCAGCCCTCTCACGCTCTCTCCTGGCCCTGAAGCACATCAAGTTTTCAGCAGACAGCTCTCTTCAACCAGCCCCTTGAACCCATATCCTGCCTCCCAGGTGAGGAAGACCTTCGAACCACCTACATGCAACAGGCTGAGCAGTTCATGGCTTTTCCTTCTGGGCCATTTTGGGGCTGGTCCATTGTTACTGCACTGCACATCCCCGGGATTGCAAATGCACTCTTATCACTTCTGTCTTATTCCTAAAATAAGAGGGCAGAGCTGTGCATGAGTCAGAATGCACTAATGATTTTCTAATTTTCTAACAGCAGGCTTGTGATATTTATTGCCCTTAAGCAGATATTAAACAATCTATAGTCATTAACTCATAAAGTTGGGGTTGGGGAAAGGAGTGGAGTGTGGAGAATGAAGGGCAGTTCGGGGAAACCAGGTTTAAATTGCAAATTGTACACAGAAACTCAAACATTGACCTAGAGTGTGGAGAATGAAGGGCAGTTCGGGGAAACCAGGTTTAAATTGCAAACTGTACACAGAAAATCAAACATTGACGTAGCTACAGTAAGTCACAGAGAAAAGCCCGAAACACCACTCAGTCTTCCCTCATTCTACTGCCCACTTGAGAAGCGATACTCTCATTCTAGGAAATACTAGCTCTGACAAGGGCGATAGTGCTCTAAAGGAGTCTGCTTACAAAGAGGCATGTTTGGGAGTCACCGTAGATAGAAGTAGAGGAATGTCACACTGGGCTTTCTGCCTTTGTTTTTATTCTAAACTCTTGGTTCGTTTCCCCTTACCATACTCATTGGTAAATATATTTTTGATCCATTTACCACACCCTAGATACATTAAAACATCATTCACTACTCACTGCTTCATGTAAATGAGTAATGGTTTGTAAAGAACAGTCTGTAGAACACCAGGGAAGGAGTCACATGATCTAGTTATTAGTCACTCTACCAGTTACTGGGCTGGGATGCTGACATTGTGAGCCACTTCTTCTGGGGAATATGAGATAGCATTTGGGAATTTTAAAAAGAAATTTTAATTTTTAAAAATGTTACTGGATTGCCAAGCAGTGGTGGCACACACCTTTAATCCCAGTGCTCAGGAGGCATAGGCAGGAGGATCTCTGTGAGTTCAAGGCCAGCCTGGTCTACAAAGTGAGTTCCAGGACAGCCAGAACTGTTATACAGAGAAACTCTGTCTTGAACCCACCCCCCAAATGTTACTGAATTCTGTTTAGTTTTCCTTTGTGAGATTATTTTATGAGCTATAAAAGTGTTCTTGCTTTCTAACTACATTTTAAGGGCAAAGAACATTGACTCTCTAATTTTATTTTATTTTTTGTTTTGTTTTGGTTTTGGTTTTTGAGACAGAATTTCTCTGTGTAGCCCAGGTTGTCCTGGAACTTGCTTTGTAGACCACTGAAATCCACATGCCTCTGCCTCTCAAGTGCTGGGATCAAAGGCGTGCACCACCACCACCCAGCTCTGATATTTTTATTATTATTATTTGTTTAATGTTTAAGCTTTAAAAAGTCTTACTCATGCATGTAGTTCCAAAAGGCAAATAGTTCTAAAAGGCCTGTCTCCCCTAATCCATTAACCACAGTTTTCACTGCCTGGAGTTGGCTTTTCCAACCATCTTAGCTAATCTCTTTGGTATAAACATGTTACTTCATGCTTCTTTTGTTGTAGCTTTTTGCTGTTAAGCATTATCTAATGACACCCTGCCATCCAATATTGCTTTCTTTCAACACTCCCACAGCCCTTCACACACACCTTACTCAGTCTGCTCACTTATTTTAATTTCAGTTAGAACAATATGTAGTGTTTGTGTTTCTATAGCTTCAGTGCTGTGGTTAGACTTGGCCCCCATAGTACACGATGAAATAACAAAGTGAGCATTTGTTTTGCTCCCAGATGTTAATGTCCTGCTTTCTGTTGTTGATCTGGCTTTCTAGCTTTGTGTTGCTATTTCAGTCCCAAACTCTGGTACTGGAAAAATCTATTCTGCCTTCCATTTAGTTAATAGTTGGCTAGATAGAGAACTCTTAAGTTGGGATGTGTCCATCTGGGACTTTAGAGGTATTGATTGACCTACTCCAGTCGTACACCTAAGACTTGGAATGGCATCTCCTTCACTCCTCTGGAAGAGTCTAGAATGGTCCTTCCTGTCTCCAGTATTGTGAAACTTTGGGATAGTGTGTCTTGGTATAAGTATGGAGGTTTGCTGAGTTTCTTGTGTCTAGAAACTTGTGTCCATCATTTCTGGGGATTTTAATTATTTCTTCAATGACATTTCCCTTGACTTTCTCCATTCCCTCTGGAATTCCTGTTTTACAAATGTTGAACATCATGAAATTTTCCTCTGATGCCTGTATTTCTTCTCTCTCCTCTCATTCATTCATCTTTCCTTGTTTTTATTTGCTTAGTTATTTATTTGGGGGTTTTTTGTTTTGTTTTTATTTGATACAGGGTTTCTCTATATAGCCCTGGCTATCTAAGAACTCTGTCTGTAGACCAGGCTGGTCTCAGAAATCTGCCTGCCTCTGCCTCCCAAGTGCTGTGTGCTACACAGCAGGCCTCTAAGATAAGCCTAAGTGTTACAATAGACAAGTAAACTTATTTCCTTGTCTCTTCCTTCCTATGTTTATGGTCTGTGTCTCTTTGGGCTCTGATGGGCATGCCGGGTACCCTGCCCACCTGGACATGAGGCCGTCTGGCAGTCCTTGGTTCTCCCCTCACATTTAAAAACAAGACACTGAATTGATGACAGGCAGCTCTGAGAGTAGGGGCTTACTGAGGCATACCTCATGATGGAACTATCTCTCTCATTTCTGTGGGGAGCTTCTGTCTAGTACTTCTATTTAGAGAAGTCTGGGCTGGTTCAAAGCCCTGAGCAGTACTATACTGTTTGCTATGTGGACTTGTGTCTGGAGAGCAGTCTCTGGGGCCAAGTTGGAGGTAGATAGCTCATCTTGTGGCATGCAGAGACCTTACCTTTACTCTCCAGAGCCAGCCTCCACTCCACAGCCAGCATCAGGGAGGGCAGAAACTCTGGCCAATGCTCTTAGATTAGCATCAACCCCTGCTCCCTGCTGTCCCCAAGCCTGGAGCTCTTTAGAGATGGGTCACATGAATCAGATTAGCTCTTGGTTTTCCTTGATGACAACACGTGGCCTTCTCGGTTCTGAGGTTGTGTCTCTCCCATCAGTGTTGCTTGTGGCTGTGGTGTTGTCTGTTGGTATTCACTGTTGTTACTGTTGTGTCAGTGTCTTGCTTTAGTAGAGTTTAGGACGGTTTAGGCGCAACCGAGAACTGTGGCTTTAACAACAAAGGATACATTACTTTCACTGAGAAAATGGGAAATTGGCTATATTCTTGTTTGTTTAAACAATAGAAATGTCACTGATAGGAAATGCTTTCAAGGGTGTGAAACTGAGATGAGCTTTAGAGGAGGAACAGAAGCAGGGAGAGAGAGGGGCAGGAGCAGGGAGGTGGAGGGGCAGGGGCAGAGAGATGGAGGGGCAGAGGCAGAGAGATGGAGGGGCAGGGGCAGAGAGATGGAGGGGCAGGGGCAGGGCATCTCGGTATGGTGGGGAGAAGCTCAGGCTCTCCTCTCACCTTTACTTTCCTAACCCTGAGGATCTTGTCACTTAGAAGCTAATGAGTCACTTGATTTATTTCACAGGTGGTATCCTCAGAGCAAAACCCACTTTCCTTCCTACCCACAGAAGCTCAAGCCCAAGTGTCCCCACCACCCCCTTACTCCACACCCCAGGAGCTGCCCCAGCCACTCCTGCAGCAGTCCCATGCCCAAGAGGCCCCTGCTCATCCACCCCAGGCAGCCCCCTCCCTGCCACAGGC